TTTTTATCTCAAAGTGTAGCGTCTTTAAGCCCACGTTGAGCAAACACGCATAAAAAGCGGTGGCGACAAAATCACGTTCATCGTCCAAATGTGATGGCGAAAGACAACAAAAGCTTCTCGCTTTATCTCTCTCTCTCTCGGCACGCTCCAACAATGTGCGCGCTTTCGTTGTCAACAAGTGATGATAATACCTACTCGATTAAGTATACCGCGGCCCCTGCAATTCAATTTTCCGACACGACAAGCTTTTGTCGCGATTTTCATCGTCACGCGAGCCAACCATACCCCCTTTGTTTTATATACTTTTGGGGGTTATTTGAATTAAAAATATAGACGAATCGTGTGTAAAAATTGACACGCGAGGTTTGGTTTTTTCCAGGTGAACTGGGATAATCGGCGGCCCAGTCAATTTGGCCGGCGACATGGCGGAGGGTGGCGGCAGGGGCGGACCAAAGTCCAGCGGCGACAATCAAATATCGCTGAATCGTATGGACGTCGACGAGTGCCTCGGCAGTTGGCTCGCGTACATCAAGGTAACGCGCGGCAAATTAAACCGGCCGATTGAAAATAAATACAATGGGGCGCGCGTGTGTGTGTACAGATGTTGAACGGGCTGTGCTCGGCGGGTACGAAGCTGGCCCTGTCGCTGCAGGCGCTCCTGTCCGTGCACGACAGGATGGCCAGGTGCAGGGTGACGGCTCAGTGCCTGGCTGGCTGGGAGGAGCTCACCCGGGCCACCAACGTGGCCAGTCACACGGTCAAGAAACACGTGGCCGCGGCCATGAAGGATTACGAGGTTCTCGACAACGACGCCGAAAAACACGTAATATTACCGATTGCTTGGCAAACGGAAAGAAAAAAAATAAACCCATCGTTTCACAATTGCAGGACATCCTTCGAGACAACCTGCTGACCTTCATCAATCTCCAGTACCAGTTCTGCGTCGCATGCTGCAAGTGCTTGGGTGAGTTTGCACGTATGCATATAGTATGTATACTTTATGCATGTACACACACGGTACACGTATCGTCGAGGCATCGAGTCAAGTTCACGCTGTTGACGAATGTATACACCCGTTCCGTTCTAAGGATGCAAAACACGGGAACTGAGGCGTATCACGCGACCGAGCTGCCCTCGACCGATCGTACACACGTATGCCTATACTCGCGTGCGTGAATCTGATTTTACATACCTAACTCCGCATGGATTATATACAATCTTGATCGATTGTGTGTCCGTCTCATCCGTCCGATGAATAAATAACACGAGTACGCGACAACGATAAAAATAAGTCATCGTGGACATTGTGAAAAGGACACGGGTTATTTATTTGTAGGGAGCATGGCCGAGTGCTCGTGCACCCAGGACGGCAGCGAGTGCGACATTGCGGCGCTCCAGCAGTGCTTCGAGCGATTGTACAGCTCACCGACGCCCGCTTCCTCATCGTCCACGACGCAAAATCCATCGCAGCACAGCAGTCACAGGTCGCCCCTGCCCTACTCGCTCTTTCCTCTGCAGGTAAAGCGATGTGGTTTTTTTTTTGCCTTTGGCACTTTGGTTGAAAAAAAAAAAAAAAAAAAAAAAAAAAA